TTTAATCCAGCTATAAAACACAATTTCCATTCCATGTGTGCATCTCAGCATTCACATAAGCCTTAAAGAAAGCAAAAAGATGATTGAATTTCAGAGAAAAGATGAATAAGCATCACACAGATCACTTTGGTGTTGTTTCAGGCTTTTCTTGAAGACTTGCCATGCTTGCAACTTTCAAGATAGATTTACGAACAATATCACAAAGCTTGTTTTATGCTGTGTGCACCAGGGTGCAATTTTCACAAGGACTTACAGTCTTCTGTGAGATGGACTGTCCACTATTCAGCCTGTCTCCTGTGAAAAGCTGGTGCTGCAGATGGGACAGATCAGTTCAGAAGAATATTAAAGATCCAGGGTACTCTTCAAGACAGAAAAAGCTTCAATGTTCAAGATTGGCACCTACTTTAGGTATGTTTGAAAATGCTGCCATAGAGGGTATCTTTCCTGACTTGGAAAGCAGAACCTATCTTACACATTCAAACTGGGTTTCACTACATAACTTGCAATTCATTATTTTAATGCAGTTCTTAAGATGATATGTTACTTCATCACGGGTAATACTGTGCTGGTAAAATCCTCCAGAAGCCCAGTGAGTAGTTACTGAAAATCTGTTGAGCTGGAGAGAGCCCTATACCATGCGCTTATCATCCATGTGGACAGAAGAGGCAGTGGTTGAATGAAAGGAAGCATCCTTGTCTCCATTTGATAACAGGGAACTGAGATAACACAAATTGATTAGTCCAGGCAGGGGATATACAGCAAAGCTGGGATTTGGCCCAGAGCTCTGGGATCCCAGTCAAAAGCCTTCATCATATGACTATCCTTCCCATGTTCTTCTGCAAGCAGTGTGCATTTCCTGCTTTTCCACGGTGCCCGCTGCAGTCTCCCATTGAAGTTGGGGTTGCTAGAATTAATAGCACGTTGCTGAGAACTGCAAAAGGAAGAGATTAACCCATCTCCCTTTAAAATAAAATTACAGGTGTCTTCTAGGCGTAAAGCAAACTTCAGCTCTTTTCTACAACATGCAGCTTCACTTCACTAATTCTTAAAATTACTTTGGAGGTTTTTACTTGTGGATCCTTACTCCCAGTGCCAGCAGGTGGGAGACGAAGCATCCATAAATCCTGACCATTCTGAAGATTTTTGTATATCCTTTAGATTGCAGCACTGAATCTCTTTTTTCCCCCCTTGAGCTAATGCTTCAATAGCTGTGCCTTGACTTCTAAATGTATTAACTGAGTTGCCAATCATCATTATTATTTTCTCAGCAATATCCCAGCTTTACTTCAGCAATCCTCTTGTCCCTTTCAAACTCCAAAACCCACACTGCAGAAAAATCACTGTTTAAAGTCTGTATTCTGAAAAAAAACCCATAAAAAAATAAAAAGATAAAAAAAATTTTAAAAGAATCACTGATCCCACACGTGAGATTCACTCAGTTTCACGTCAGCCTTTTTCCAGGTTTTCCCATAATTCAAATCACCTTTCGTCTGTGAAAGTGGGAGGATTTCCTATAAAGTAGGCATGTATGATAGTTCAGCCAACTTACTGGATTCCCTGGGGGTCTCTTTGGGCGGGTCCTTGCAGTGGTTGGAGATGTTTTCCAAAGGAACAAGCAGGTAATGATGCCTTCCTTCTCCTTGAAGATTCAGCTTGCACATGATAGAGTAAGGTACTAACTAAGCCTGGGGAGAATGACCTGTAAAACACCTGGAGGAGCAGAAGGTCTTTATGCAGGAGGCAGTACCCCAGCCCTGTAACGCAGACTAGAGCGTGGAAGACAGGTTCAAGAGACTGGAGGTCCCAATTCTCATTCCTGC